TTCAGAGTTTGTACGTGCTATGGAGTTTGTACGTGTTTTGGAATTTTTATGTGCTTCGGGGTTTGTACTTGCTTCGGAGTTTGTATGTGCTATGGAGTTTTTACGTGTTTTGGAGTTTCTACGTGCTTCGGGGTTTGTATGTGCCGTAAATATACTTTAAATATACTTTTGTTTATTCACTCCACATAAAATGTTAAAAAGAAATCATATAATACAAAAACCAACTATTTACATTTCAACTTTTAACTATTTAAATTTTCAGATTTTTCCTTTTAAACAAATTTAAAGTAAAACAACATAAAACACTGCAAATCACAACACAATTAAATATAAATTAAAATATAAAAACAAAAAGAAGATGTACATTCTCTGTCATATGGGCCTGCATGAATAAACTTTCTGAATCCTTTATCATCCGCAACTGAAAATAGTTGTGGACCATTACTATACCTTTTTAATGTGACGTTGTTGTCACTGGCTCTCTTTCTCTATCTCTCCCTCCCGCTCTGTTCCTGTGCTACTAAGAGTGTAACTACCAGCCCTCTTCCCAGCGCAAAGCACAGGTCGCGTGCGAAGTGAAGCGGAAAAAAAGTTCAAGAGAGAGGGTGAGAGAAAGAAGAAAAAAAAACACGGCTCGCGTCGTTCACTTCAAAGACCCGGCTCTAAGAGCCGTTTCGTTCGCGACCGACACATCAGTAGTTGGAGGTGCTAGTCCAGACAGTGGTGGAACTGCCAGCTATACAACTTCAAGCAGGCGGCAGCGAATTGCCGATGGCTGGACAGGGTTATAAAATTATTCAAAAGGAATGACTGGCCATTGGGGCGGGGGGGCTGGAAGGAGGTGTTGGCCGTCCGATTGGGATCTGAGATGCGGGGCCTCCCTGCTGCTGCGGAGCCTGGGACGGTCTGCTTGCTTCCACCCTGGGGGAAAGGGTAAAATCTCCTGGGTCTAGATGCCAAGGTGTTGGAAATGATTTTCCGTCTGTTAGTCGATACAAGAGGGAAAATGCGGTTTTAATACTGGACAAGCCCTTCATGCTATGGAGGATACTTGATGGGGCATGTGAGTTTGCCCAACCAGTCTGCATGTGTTTTGACTTGGAGAAGGCATTTGACCACATATGACAGGTGCTTCAGGAGTATGGGGTGTCATTCAAACCTTATACAACCATTGCAAGAGTTTGGTACGCATTGCTGGCAAGACCCTGGTGGTGACCAAGGGTCAGCGCTGGTCCACCAGATGACGGGGTTCTGTTGGCTTCATCAAGTGATGGCCTCCAACTCACACTAGAGCAGCAGCGGGTATGAGAATCGGCCCCGGAAGGGTCGAGTGCCTACTCCGGGTCAGGGATGAGTTCCTGCCCCAAGTAGAGGAGTTTAATTATCTCAGGGTTTTTTTCATGCGTGAGGAGAGAAGAGAGCGGGGGATTGACAGACAAATTGGTGCGGCTGCTGCAGTGATGCGGATGCTGTACCGGTCTGTTGTGGTGAAGAGATATCTGAGCGTAAAAGCGAAGCTCTCAATTTCTTGGTTGGTCTACATCCCTACCTTTACCTATGATATGAGCTTTGGGTAGTGACCGGAGAGATCTCTCAGCTGGCCTGGGAAGGCCTTGGTGTTCCCCTAGAAAAGAGGCTGGAGGAGGTCTGGCCTTCTCTACTTAGGGTGCTGCCCCCGCGGCCCAGTCCAGGATAAGTGTAAGAAAATGGATGGATGGATGGAATGAATAATGGCCCAATTTCATTGGCCGGGGATTTGGGAGGACATGCAACAGTGACGCTGTAACTTAGGTGGTAAAGTAGGTCGCCTACTAATTATTGGTTCAGATACTAATCCTATGTTGCTCTCTGATGCATCCATCGGAGTATGAATGCATCTGAATGTTAGATAGAAGGCACTTACATAGAAATAGCATATAAAAAAAGTGCTTATGTGAAGCAAGATGTGTAAACCGCTTTGAATGCTCAGAGTAGAAAAGTGTTATATAAGAACCAGTCCAGTCCATTTGGTGTGCATCGTACTCTGATTGTGAGCTGGTGAACCAGCGGGCCATTTCAAAAGCACCCAGTAGTGTTAAGGGTACTCTCATTCAAGCGCACTGGCATGGACCAGCATGAGGACTACTGTTCCCTTCACGGTCTTTTTGAACTCCTCTCTCTTTGTTATTTCTCAAGTTTCTCATGTTCCTTCTTCCTAGTGTTTCTATCATTTGGTATAGCTACATCTATCACTGGTGTCATCCTCCTCTGCTTGTCCACCTCTACTATGTCCGGTTGATTAGCCATCAGCTGTTTATCAATTTGTATCTGGAAGTCCCACAGGATCTTAGGTTGGTCAATCTCAACTACCCTTGGGAGGCAAGACAAGGGTAGTTTGACCTCTGGACCTCCAGGCCATACCCAGCACAGATATCCCTGTATACTATGCTAGTCACTTGGTTAGGGCATTTCATGTATTCCCTACTTGCGATTATCTTGCGCCCTGCTGTTACTTGCTTGTCTTGGGGGAATCTCTGCACAGCCTGCACCTGGGATCTTTTGCTTAGAGTATGTTCCTGTGCTGTCTTGATTATTTCCTCTGTGCTTTCTTTGAGTCTAGCATTCTCCAGCCATTGTAGGATTTCTTGACATCAGCTATGTCTTCTATCTGCCAGTGGTAGATGCGGTGCACAGACCTGTCTTTCCATAATAGTCCCCTTCTTGCTCCTCTGCATGTGGCTGTTCATGCTAACTACTATGATGCCTGACAGGAGCTTCCATGTTGAGCTGAAGGTTATTTGTCGGTAGTTGGATGTGACCGGTGCAATATGGGGATCCGTGGGTATCAGGACTGTCTGTCTTTCAGTTAGCCATTCTCTGTGTATCTCATCCATTAGCGGCTGGTTCATTTGTGCTGAGAGACATTTGTGGAGTGTAATTAGCTTTGTTAACCAGTAGGTTAGAATCATGTCAGGGCCTGGTACTGTGTAACTTTTCATGCTTGAGACACTTTCTTGGAGATGTCTGCCACTGTGATGGTTACTGAATCCTTTTTAGGGATGTTACTGTGGTCTGCCACTTGCCACTAAGCAAGAGAACAAAAACAATTTTTGGATAGATTAAACAAGATTCCGGTACAAGATTATCTGGCACCTGATTGATGGGAAGAGAAAAGTATGGAGAACTAAAGGAACAACATTATCTTTCCAACATGTTGAAGGTGTTATGGCATGGACATGTATGGCTGCATTTGGAAGCAGGTCACTACTGATGATGATAATGATGTGACTGCTGATTGAATTGGCAGGATGAATTCTGAGGTTTACACGGCTATGCTCTCTGGCAGTTCAAACCTTCAGGTACAGAAACAGCCAAGTATTAAGCATTTAGTATAGTTACTTATAAACCCCTGAAAATGTGGGACTATGGCTGGAAACAGTTAATTCAGTACTTTTGTTGAAGGTCTTGAAGCCTTTACTTCATTTTTTCTTATTTAAAATTCCCTGTTGTTATGTACAGAGACATAAATTACACAAATTGTGTCAATGCCCAAACTTTTATGGACCTAACTGTAGGTGGACAGCAGCTATCATAACCAGAACTGTGCACTTAAGATGAGCATATTAAGGACATCCCAACTTGTTGGTGTCAAAAAATTTCAAATACAGTGGAACCCCGACATACAAATACCCCGTTTCACAAAAAATTCAAGTTACGAAGGCACTGAACGTCAATATTTTTGCCCGTGTTACGGCAAAATGCCCGAGTAACAAAATACGCTGGCTCTGATTGGCTGAGCCTACAATGCCCACAATGCCTTTCGAATCATGTGACAACCCCTTGGCTTCCGTACTTGCGCTTTGCTGTTCCACTTGAATGACATATTGTTGTTCTAGTTAGCAATTAGCCTATAGCCTATCGTGCAGCATCACCTCAGTCAAAACGCGCGATGGATGCTTCGACTTGTGAAAATTTTCGATTTAAGAAAGACCCTCGGGAATGAATTAATTTCGTAAGTCGGGGTTCCACTGTAATTCAAAGCATAAATAAAAATGGGAGTTTTCATGTATGTAATCTCCAAAGTCTGTATCCCACATTACACAGCCAATACATTAATTTGATTTTGACTTCAATAAGAAATGAAGGTAGGCAACACATTAAATTAGGCTGACTATTTAGGACACTATACCATACAAAAAGAGCAAAAGAAATGACATTTTGTTGTTATGGTGGTGTTATAAATACTTTTAGTCTCAACTGAAGCCTGCCTCCTCCGGGGCTGCTACTTTCCTTACTTCTACTTTGTTGTTGAGGGTGAGTGCTCGAAAAAATTGGGGACCATCCCAAATCGAGAGCTTTCCCTGAGTAACTGAAGCTTGGATTATAGACCAGAGAAGAAAGTTGTATGACAGGACAACTGGAACAATATTTGAACTGTTATAAAGGAATCATATTTTCGAAGTTAATGGACAGCCAAAGATACTCTATACAAGAGAAGCACACAAAAAACATAGAAAAGAGATTTTAAAGGGCAGTAAAGTAGGTAAGAACTGTCAAGAATTATGAAAAATGGTGTGTATAAAGTATTTATTGGCAAACACTACTGTATGTTTCCTCCTACCTGTTGATCTAGGTAATCCAGGTTGCGCTGGAGCTGAAAATCTAATATATCCTCCTGAACCAAGCAGCAGCATTGGTGGCAAGCGTGGAAATCAAAAAGACAAATATTGTATAGATAGCAACTCTTTATCTTATTATTTTGATCTTATGATGTATTGTTTTAATAAATGCATATGCAATAAATATATATTTGTAAAGTTCCTTTAAAAACAAGACCAAAATGTGAAAGTCATCCTTAATGTCCCCTTTGCATATCATTCCTAGTTTATTTTTCACAATCACAAATACAGTGTATTAATGGTACCCAATCATTGCTTATTATCAGTAGATACCCAAAGCCAAGGTAACCAAAATGGATCAGACATCTCTACTTGGACATACAGATAATTAATGCCAGACCCCACAGCTGACAGCATTTACAATACAAAGTTACATATGCCACAGCATGAAGTGCATTAAGTACAATTTACATACTTTTGCAGCACATACCATTTTACTGTGAACAGAAGGGGAAACAGGGTAGTTGTGGTGGTATAATCCTTGGTTTAATGATCTCCTTTCACCATGGTAGTTATACTAAAGGCAGTAGGGAAGAGAACATAGAAAGAAGAAAGGACAAAATAGAAGTAAGGTGAGTGAGAGTGTCAGAGTGGTGTTAGATGAATATGGTGTCACTATATCAAAACTGGAGAGTCTTGATTTTATCCCTGCTGACTTTCTGTATTGATAAATGTTATTCAAAGACTTATCAAACATTAGTTTCTCAAAGCTACACACAAACACAGTAAACCGGTTCACCTTTGGGGAGCTGAAAGATCTTCTCAGACTGTAGACTGGTGGATAGATTGCATCTTCATTCATCCTCCCTGAAAACCGGTCAAAACCATTGGATAGTGATCGAGCAGGTGAGGCATAGGTGCATGACGCTGGTGAATAGGGCCGCCTCGATGATGAGGATGGTGATCTGGGCACAGACTTGGAGCGTGGCTGAATAAACAGGCTCCTCATGGATGTTTCCATTCCACCATAGTACTGTGGCCCCCATTGGTCTTGGGGCATCTGTTTCCTGTACAACCGGTGGGGTTCATCCCTCAGAGAGTGTCGCTTTTGCTCAATAGTCCATAGTCTGTCATAGCCCCCCACAGCAGACATAGAGCAGATGCTGTCTGGTCGGACCCCTGGTAGGTACAAAGAGTATTCGTCCACAAAGTTATAGTAGCCAGCTGAGACTTCTTGGTTCACAGAATAGTAAGAGGGTGGCCTGAAAGCACAGGAAAAATTAGAGAATATTTCCGACATGAAAAACTATTTGAATGTGTGAAAGTTTATCTTGGTCTAGTTCTTCTTTAAGAAACACAATAGGATAAAGACTAAAATTACATTTTTCCCTTTTTAAAATACACATTAATTTTTATATATATACATTACATTTTCATAAAACAAATCAAATTAAGTCTTTCTAGAAACACAGAAAGGAAACTTACTCATGAAATAGCAGTTATAGACAAACAATACAAAACGGAAAAGATGAAAATAAAAACAGTTGAAAGGTTTTATTTAATTATGGGATCTTTGAAATTAGTGTGATAATATTTTTTTGGGATTAAATAAGAAGTGTGAATAATTTGGTTAGTGCCAAAGGTGTCTGAAAACTATAGAAAATCATTTGAGAACCAACACTTCTTCAAACAGCCTTACAAAACAAGTTGTGCACTACTTTAATATTTGTTTTTGAAAGGTTTTCTATTCCATTAAAATAATCAACAATAATGTATATAATCTGTATTTCTGATAGTTTACATTATTAGTGTGCACGTAATTCAATGATCACTGTGCCAGTGTAAAATCATAGTAAATAACTTATAATATTTGAAGACCTGGAGACACAAAGAGCAGTTATATTTCTTCTCTTCTAAATTGAGCTACCTGTTGATGTCTTCTTGCGAGGCCATGCCCCGCCGCTGGTTGACCCACTGTTGCAGTTGAGCCATTGAACACTTTCTTTGGGCCAACCTCTCTGGAGCTGTCCTTGGGACAAAACCTCTCCTCAGCACCACATTCTCCTGTTGTTCCCTGGGCTCATATGATAAACCAACACCTGGCTCTTCATGTCCCTCAGCTGGTTGATGTCCATTGTGGCTGTTGGATGGAGGGGGTTTACTAATGCTGTTGAGGGTCATGGCACTAGGAGGAGGAGTTGTTCTTCCCCCTTCAGCTTCTTCACTTTTCCCTTCCATTCTATTATTTATGTGAGAGCATAAGTGTTGTGTTTGTGAGTTATGAGGCTTTGTCTCTATGCTGTGGTTGATAAAATCTTGGTGTTTCCTGGGTATTTGGAAGAAAAAGAATGAATGAGAATTAGGACAGCACTGGATCTGACACCAAAAGATCAAGCAGAGTACGGCACCAAAGAGTCAAGAGTCACTGTTACCGATATTACCCCACTTATTTATTTAATAATAGTAGTTTCTGTTGTTGCTGAGTCCTTGGTATGTGCCAGGGCCTTGTCCTGCTCCAGGGCCTTATCCTGGTAGGACATGCCTGGAATAGCTCACCTAGGAAGCGTCCAGGAGGAATCCTAGTCTGATGCCCAACTACCTCAACTGGCACAGAAGTAGAGGAGCAGCCGTTCTACACTGTGTCCCTCTTGAATAACCAAGCTCTTCACCCTATCTCTAAGGGAGGGCCTAGCCACTCTTCTAAAGAAATTTATGCCACTTGTGTCCACAACCTGATTGTTTCATCCACTAATGAGAGCTTGTGACCATAGGGTGAGAATAGGAACACAGATTGCCTGGTAAAAATACATCCTCGCTTTTATTCTCAGCTCTCTCATTGCCACAACAGAGCTCATGTGTTGTATTATCTCATGTTGACAGATGACGTGAGGGAGTGTTCCATTCTCCCCTCAGTTGGGAACAAATACGTGAGATACTTCAGCTCCACTGCTTGGGGGGTATAACTCGGCCCTGATCTGCAGTCGGTGCTCTGCCCTTTCAGACTTGGAGGTGTTAATTATTATTCCCGCCGTTTCACACTCGGCCACAAAAAGCTCCAGTGCAAACTGGTGGTCACCACCTGATGAAGCCTGAAGGCTATCACTTAGCTATGTCTAGATATTTTTTCACAGCCAGGTTCCACCATCACCCATTGCTGGCTGACTTCTGGCATGGTAAGTGGTATGTCATAGAGATATGGGTTTTGGGTCACTGTTTATGTGATGGCATGCCACATCTGGCCAGATTGTGGCTTCGTTTATGTGGCCCAGGCTCATAGGAAACAGGACTGGCCTGGATCCGGCATCAAGTTGGCACTTCTGACTGACTGGTGTCATGGCAGGGTGTATGTCAACCAGATGTGGGCCAGGTCTGGCAATGATGGCACTATTTATGTTCCTATTTTCCTATTTTAGTTAGAAGACCCAAATGCTATGTTGCAGTACTATACTGCTATGGTAGCCAACTTCTCAAATGCAGGTTTGACAGGTTTATGAGTGTACACTTTATCCAAAACCTAGTGAGGGTTTACTCAGGTTTAGCACTGGGTGGCTGTAGCTCAGGAGGTAGAGCAGGTCACCTACTGATCAAAAGGTTAGTGGTTTGATCTCTGGCTCTTCCAGTCTGTATGTCAAGAATGTGAATGTGTATGAATGTAGTTAGGAGTAATCTGGGAGAGCAGAAAAGCACTATAGAACTAGGGATGGGTACCGGTATCCGGCGCCATGATGGCACCGGTTCTGACATAAACGGTAGTAACCAGACCAAAAAGCAGCGCACATTTCAGTGCTTCATTTCGGTGCTTTTTTTTCCTGAGATGTGATACACTTTAGATTCTAGCATTTTACGTTTCCGAGGATAGTAGGCGGGCCCAGGCACATACGTTCTTTTAGAGCAGAGCTACATATTAAAAAGGCCCAAGGCAAAACGGCCAAAAGTCTGGCTGTACTTCACAGCAAAAGATGCAAACTCAGCAGCCTGCAACAACTGCTTTAAGGTGATACTATGCAAAGGAGGTAACACTTCAAATCCGATGAAACACCTGGCGACGCATAGCGTTTTTTTAAAAGCCGAGAAATGCACCGTTTAAGCACCGGCACCGTTTCAAAAGTACTGGTTTGGTACTGGTATCGGACAAAATCTAAACGATACCCATCCCTATATATAACAATCAGTCCATTCACTGTCTGAACAGAGTTTCTTCATGTTACTTTTGCACTATTATGTTCCAGCACATGTTGTTATTACATGGCTTGTTTAAGGCACAAATTAAGCTGACATCTGGGGCCAGAGCCGAAACTGTTCTGGGCCAGCACAGGACCAGCAGTGTGTCTGCAACTGGCCTTGTGCTGGCCCATGTGTGGGCCACCTCTGGCAAACCTGATCTGGGCCACCAAAGGGCCGTCATTCTTTGCAGTATGTGGGCCATGTGTAAGCACATTGTGTGGGCCAGATGTTGACCATACCAATTTTGGTATATGGGGTGTTATTCATTTACACGTCAGAAGTCTTCTTCCTAAATTTGATTTCATCATTTCCATTTCAAAATTTGGATGAAAGCATTAGATATGGATATCCTTATATGATTGGAAACCTGGCTTACAAAATCAATTCCTGACAGACATCACAATAACGGCTTTTTGTTGCGACTGCCCCAGGGTGGCAGTTTTGCAATTTATGTGTAACAAGTGTCACCTGGCAGTTTGTTGCTCTCTGCCAGGTGATTGGCTGAAGAGCTGTGAAAAGGTAGTGGGTGTGTGGGGTGAAGTCAGCGCTCTTCTGTGGAAAAAACCAGAGGCAATTAATTCACTCAGGTGCGAGTGGGTATACTGTCGGTAAGAGACTTTTGCCATTTTTGTTTTGAGAAGTGAGGATGGAACACTGAGACCAAGGACACACAGGCATAATCTGTGGGTACGACGCGACACTGGGCATGGGAAAACACAGGGCTTAAATACACAGGGTAGTAATGAGGAAATGGGCCACAGAAGGGAGACACAGCTGGGAGAGATCAGGGCTAACG